CCAGGGCAGGTGGATCACCTGAGGTCAGGAGTTTGAGACCAGCCTGGCCAACATGGTAAAACCCTGTCTCTACTAAATATACGAAAATTAGCTGGGCATGGTGGTGGGTGCCTGTAATTGCAGGTACTCTGGAGGCTGAGGCAGGACAATTGCTTGAACCTGGGAGGCAGAGGTTGCAGTGAGCCAAGATTGTGCCACTGCACTCCAGCCTGGGCGACGGAGCGAGACTCCGTCTCAAAAAATAAAACAAACAAACAAAAAAACCCAAAGAAAAATCAATAATGTTAGCACTCCTCTTATCAAGTCAACCTTATTCTTTATTTTTTTTGAGACGGAGTCTTGTCTGTCACCCAGGCTGTAGTGCAGTGGTGAGATCTCGGCTCACTGCAACCTCCGCCCCTCCAGGTTTAAGCAATTCTCTACCTCAGCCTCCGGAGTAGCTGGGATTACAGGCACGTTCCACCACGCCTGGCTAATTTTTTATATTTTTAGTAGAGACGGAGTTTCACCATCTTGGCCAGGCTGATCTTGAACTCCTGACTTCGTGAACCACCCGCCTCGGCCTCCCAAAGTGCTGGGATTACAGGCGTAAGCCACCGTGCCCAGCCAACTTTATTCTTTTCTCACTTCTGGCTTGCCTCTCTCCGCTTTGGGCTATTCTGTAGAGTCAGTTATGGTGCTCAAGCTTCACTGACAGCCCTGAGTAGATATGGTCGAAATAGGAAGGGCCAGTCATTTATAGGTGAAACGTGAACCTGAAGAATATCCTCAGTGTTCATGACCTGATGATCCTGTTACCTACAGATGCTTAACAAATTACTCCAGAATGCAGTGGCTTAAAACAACATACATATCTCAGTTTCTGTGGATTAGGAATCCTGACAAGGTTTAGCTAAGTGTTTTTGCCTCAAGGTTTCTCACAAGCTGCAATTGTGTTGGATCCACTTCCAAGCTCAGTGGTGGCTGGCAGGATTGTTTTTCAGTTTGTTGGGACGGAGGGTCTCAGTTCTTTGCTGGCTGTTAGCCTCCGCTTAGGGTTACTCATATGGCAGCTTGTTTCCTAGGACAAGGTTTTGAAAGGAGAGGAAGGTAGTGTGCACAGGCAGAAGCCAGACCATTTGTAACTGTCTCAGAAGTGATATCCCATTGCTTCTGCCCTTTTCTAACAGAAGAAAGTTCAGCCCACACTGAAGGCAAATAGATTATATGAATACCAACAGGTGGGAATCACAGGGGCCTTTTTAAAGGTTTTCACAATTACTTAAATTTTCTGCGGAAATGGGCATTTATCAGAATTTTTTGTTTTGTTTTTGTTTTTTAAAGACAGGGTTTTGCTTGCTCTGTTGCCCAGGCTGGAGTACAGTGGTGTGATTACAGCTCACTGCAGCCTCGACTTCCCAGGCTCAGGCCATCCTCCCGCCGCAGCCTCCCAAGTAGCTGGGACTAGGTATGCGCCACCACACCGGGCTAATGTTTGTCTGTTTTGTAGATAGGGGTTTCACCCTGTTGCCCAGGTTGGCCTTGAACTCCTGAGCTCAAGCAATCCATCTGCCTCAGTCTCCCATAGTGCCAGGATTGCAGGCCTGAACCACCACACCTGGCCATCAGAATGCTTTATCAGGACAGAAATTAGATTCTGGTATCCTCATATGCTGATGGATACTTGGTTTTGTTGTAAATTAAGTTGATGAAGATGAATGGTTAAGGATTCCAACCCTGAAAACCCATCTCACTTTTGTCATCTATCTTCAAAGGATTTGTAATTAAGGTCTACTAAATTTATTTCCAACATCAACCACTCTCTCCTCTATACCTAGTGAATCCAAAGCAACCAATGCAAACACTCAGTCTTAGTGGCACAACTATTAAGAACAGCTCAAATGGCAGGCAGCTGATGCACTTCAATAAACAGTCTCATTCTGTCATTTGGAGGGCAACGCTTGTTATTGTATTAAAATGGGCAAAAACTAGATCTAAATTAAGGACAACAGGCAGGTATTATTTTAAAAAGTGAACTTGGAAGGATATAAAATCAAATTGAACATCATACGTACTAGAAAGTCTCCTCCCTTTACAAGAAATGGTGCAGCCTGTAAACTTGCTTAATTCCCTGGTTGCAATTTTTTTTTGGGGTCAGAGTCTTGCTCTGTCACCCAGGCTGGAGTGCAGTGGCGCAATCTCCACTCACTGCAACCTCCGCCTCCCAGGTTCAAGCAATTCTCCTGCCTCAGTCTCTTGAGTAACTGGGATTACAGGTGTGCAGCACCATGCCTGGCTAATTTTTAAATTTTTGGTAGAGATGGGGTTTCAACATGTTGGCCAGGCTGGTCTCGAACTCCTGACCTCAAATGATCCACCGGCCTTGGCCTCCCAAAGTGCTGGGATTATAGGCGTGAGACACCGCGCCCGGCCCCAAATTTCTAAACACTTAACATTATCTCAAGTGTCCTGGCCTTTAAACGGGGATATTTCTCTTGTATCATAAGAACTTGGTGTGGATTAATATTTTTGCAAGGACTTAAAGTTAAATGCATATTATACATGTAGTTTTTATTTTTTTGAGATGAAGTTTTGCTCTTGTTGCCCAGGCTGGAGTGCAATGGTTCCATCTTGGGTCACCACAACCTCTGCCTCCTGGGGTCAAGTGATTCTCCTGCCTCAGCCTCCTGAGTAGCTGGGATTACAGGTATGCAGAGACAGGGTTTCTCCATGTTGGTCAGGCTGGTCTCGAACTGCTGACCTCAGGTGATTTGCCCGCCTTGGCCTCCCAAAGTGCTGGGATTACACGCGTGAGCCACTGCAGCTGGCCTACACATGTAGTTTTTAAACTCCAACTTTTATTTTATTGGAATCTACCTTCCCAAACCTCCAACTTAAATGTCTTTAGCAACACAAAAACAAACTTCCTTCTCAGTTGGCCTCAGGTTTAGTCACTTTTCTGTATTAATATTCTGAAGATTTTGTAAGAGCTTTATGCTATGCTAAAGCTTTGCTAACTCCCAAGTTGCACTGACTATTCAAACTTCTCTGGTGCCTGAAGGTCTTATTTATTTTTATTTTTATTTTTGTAGAGATGGAGTCGCATGCTGTTGCCCAGGCTGGAATGCAGTGGCGTGATCGCGGCACACTGCAACCTTGAAATCCTGGGCTCAAGCAATCCTCCTGCCTCAGCCTGAGTAGTTGGGACTACAGGTGCCAGCCAACACATCTGGCTAATTTTGAATTTTTTTATAGACACAGGGTCCCACTATGTTGCCCAGGCTGATCTTGAACACTTAGATTCAAGTGTTCCTCCTGCTTTGGCCTCCCAAAATGTGGGGATTGCAGGTGTGGGCCACTGCACCCGGCCATAAGGCCTTATTTTAAAGCAAATATAAGTTCAGATTCTATTATCAGCAAATCGCCAATTTTCTGTGATATAACAATCTAAGGCAAAGCAGTTTCCTTATAAGGCTAAACTGGTAAGAGTACAGGTTTCAAAAGAAAAGAATGGGCAGTAACGAAGTCCACTTATAAGCTGAGACTGCTCTGCAGCAGCTAGTTTCCCTGTGGACACGCAGAGCAAATTCAGAATTAAAGGGGGTTGTAAACCCACCTGTTTGTTGGTTCTTTTGAGATAGCTACAAGCTCTCCTATAACAGCACTAAGGTTCCCCCAAACTGGGAATTCTAGGTCCATATATTTAACACAAGGTGTAGGAGGGCCTGCCTAGGTTGGTCAGTCTGGTGAACAAACTGGTTTAACGGATCCCAACAGGTTACATTTTAACACTACGAAAACACTGTGTTCTAAGTATTGCACAATTAAAACAAATTAACTAGAACAATTTATGTAGTTCAGGTGTAGGTGGGAAAAGACAAATAACACTAAAAACTACCACAAATAAAAATGAAAATTAAAAACTAGACATGAAGCAAAAAATAAATTCTCTCTAGTATAACAAGTCCTGACTAAGTCATCCAATACAGAAGCACTCCAACAGAAAGCTGGACAATTTACACAAAAAATCAAAAAATGCAACTACCTATGAAAACAAGTTTATGACCTCACTAGTAATCCAATATGCAAATTATGATATTCCTGTGGGGAAGGGGCAGGGCCCAAACTAGTGATTCGTAAGAGGCCTGTTCATACACTGGTGTATACAGAGAAACAGTCCGACCATTCTGCTAGTTGTCCAGATAAGTTAGGCAATATTTATTTATTTATTTATTTATTGAGACAGTCTTGCTCTGTTACCCAGTCTGGAGTGCAGTGGCATGATCTTGGCTCACTGCACCCTCTGCTTCCCAGGTTCAAGTGATTCTCCTGCCACAGCCTCCTGAGTAGCTGGGACTATAGGTGCCCGCCACCACACCTGGTTAATTTTTGTATTTTTTGTAGAGACGGGGTTTCACCATGTTGGCCAGGACAGTCTCGATCTCTTGATCTTGTGATCCACCCGCCTCGGCCTCCCAAAGTGCTGAGATTACAGGTGTGAGCCACCGTGCCCGGTGGCAATATTTATTAAAAGCTTCAAAAATGTGTTCTCTGACCCAGACAGTTCAAGAATCTATCCAAGAAATGAAGAGACAAGTGTATGAAAGCCTGTGTAACACATCATGCCATTGCCTTAGTAAGAGCTTATATTTCTAAGTCTTCTGGATTTCGCACATACTGTGCATTTATAATTTGAGAAAAACAACCACCCCCTGACAAATCTTCTGAAAGAAAGTGCTATCTATTGGACGTAGGGAAAAACAATTAAAAAAAAAAAAAAAAAAAAAAAAACAGGCTGAAAAATAGTATTCCACAAATGTTAATTTGGCTGTTAATTCTATCCCACTCCCAATTTAAAGCAGAAGCAAAACTATGAACCCCACAAAATGGCAAGTGTGCAATCTGTACTGTTTCATTCCATATTTAAATTAAAAAAGCATACTCAACTGATGTTTTCCTCCAACTACTCAGGGCAGAGCAATTTGGACAACACATGAACAAGAGATTTTTGGAAACATGTTGGTTATTAAATAATTTGTTTATTGTACGGCATTTACAAAGAAAACAGACAATGCACTCAGTAGAAAGAATAAAAATGTATTTAGGGCTTTATTTTTAACTGACAGCAAATAGAAATCCTTTAGTGAGATCGTGGCAATTTGACAGTATTATAATTAAGCTCAATAAAGATACATGGGGTACTTGGAAGATCAAGTTCTACAGCTGCCTATTTCCACATCTTTCAATCCATCTGGCTCCTTAAACAATAGGGGGAAAGCCCTTATTTGGTGGAGGAGCACTTCCAAAATGAAGTTACAGGTTCTATTAAAATTTACTGTCACATCAACTGTTGAAATAGGGCCTTTTGCATGTTTTATTTCACCTTAATATCACCAGAATTCCTGTAATTCCACAATTGTGATTTTACAGTGTAGAAGATAATTCAGTTCTAGTCTATTGCTTTAGATGTAAAAACAGCTGAAAACCCAAAGTGGATTAGAATTGCTGAAGGATTTCCCTGCCGTTGTTTGATACAATCTATTCTCTTGATTCTTGGTAGGTGCATAGAAAGCCTAACTTAAAATTCTTTCTACAGGAACATGTCTGAGTTCAGGAGTACCCAATGAAGGATCCGAAGAATGGCTGGCCAGTTACTCAGAGTAATATGTTTATGAATTAAATGGACTGCATAACGGCACCACTTTTCCTTTGTCACTGTTGGTGGATAAATGACAAAGTAGATTCCAATCTCCCGTATAGAAAGGTGGTTACCCAACAGCCTCACTGGTGGCTTGCTAGCAGTAGAGCCTCAAGTTGCACCTCTGTGGCTTTCTGTAAATTCGAGTCCTATAGCCACTTCGAGAATGCTGTAATCCCCAAGGCCCACTTGGTCCATGCTGAAGAAGCGGCTGTGACCCCAGTCCTGCCCCTCTTTTGCTCTTCAATATTACTGGAGGAATATGTAATATCTAGGTCAAGTCTACGAGAGGCTCATCCTAAAAAAAAAAATGGCAGTCTTTTCTCAATTAAAACAAAAAAGCCTCAAGTACATCTCAATCATGTCAAAATTATGGTTAAAAACTGACATTATGTAGGGAAATAGCAGCAGAGAATGGCTAATCTTAAAAAACAACGAACCAACCAAAAAACAAAACAAAACAAAACAAGATCAACAAAAAAAAAGTGCCATCCCACCCCTCCCCTTGGTTCTTTCATTTGGGGTTATATTAAAGACTCGAGCCTCTGAGAAAATGAGAAAGGCAAAGCCATAGAGGAAAACTGCTTCAAGGCCAGAGTTTTGGGCAAGGTAAAGAAAAAGCTGTACATGAAAGCAGGGGACTGTCTGGAAAAGAATCAGAATCTCAAGATCTACTTAAGTGGGAAAGCTCTGAAATCCAGATCTCCGTTCTAACGTCATCCTGATCCTTTAGTTATGGGGCAATAAACTCAAGTGCAATGAGTAAAGTGCCAGCCAAGGATACAAAAACACAAAACAAAACAAAACAGCCAACCAAAATAACTCTGGTCTTAGGGTAACAGAAGACATACAGGAAAGGACTGTTTATAGAACACCTGAGGTTCTCAAGAAATTACTATTCAATGGTTCTGTTTTTGCTTACATTAAAAATCAGACTGAAGATTCAAAGATCTTAACTATTAAAGGATGAAAGGAATTCGACAGTGCTTTGAACAGTGATAAAATGGTACCCAAATTTGGTGTTCATACAGCTAATTAAAAGACAGTAGCTTAAAAGTTGCAGGAAAAAATGTGAACATAGAGAACAACAGAAACAGTCCAGGAAGATGATGCAGCCTGGACACAGCAAGTTTAATGTCTCTGCTGTACACAGAATTAACACCCTTTCCCCTCCTCATCCTTATGCTGGCAATAGGATATGCACTAGAAAATTTGACTCTTAGAGTCAATGAATAAAAGGATGGGCTCATACACCTTCATAGCTCTTTTCAAAAACGATGCTTATAATTTAAAGGATGTCCTAATGGGAAGGAAAGGTACAGGGCAAGAGGCTGTTTCACATTTTAGTCCATTAGTCTTTGGCAGAGCCCAACCAAGGCCAAATTCACCTAGGATGCCCAATGGCTGTGGGGATCTCCACAGGGTCAAGTAAGCAAACCCAAATGAACATGTTGGATTAAAAAAAACCAAGATCTAGAAACTCTTGAAGGAAGAGCTTCACCCTGAAAAGGGAAGAGGAAAATGCTTGGAGGGGAAGGGCGGAGGGTCAGTGTGTGATCTCTGCTGTGGTGGTGGGCAGGGGCTTAGGAGTTAAGCCAAGGGTGCCGAAGACACTCGGCGGCAGTGGCTCTCTTCTCGGGGATCAGCTCCAACATGGGCAGTAAGAAATCTGTGAAGCCAGCTGCCTCTTCCTGAGACCACTCATACTTCTCCACTAGAACCTCAAAAAGGCCCCAAGGTTTCAGCTTCGTGATATGTTTAAGGTCACCTGCAGTGAAGACAGTATAGAAAAAGTCACTGATCAACACAGACAAATGACAAGGTCCTCTTGTGGAACTAATCCATGTAGTCTATGAGGAATCAGATTTTGCAATCAGAATCTAATCCTGCATTCACAAAGCATTTTTTTTTCTGGCATATGCCTCAGAAAGAAGTGCCTCTATTTTTCATAAGGCTCTAAAAATTTAAGGTAATTTGTTTTTTCCCCTATTCTAGGATTTTTTTGGGTCCCAGTCAAACTGGGTATGACAATCAGGATAGGTATTTACTACTAAAACAAACATGAAATGCCTGTCTTCAACATGGTCTCATATGGTGTGCAGAGGCACTCTAGCACCACATACCAAGAATAATTTGCTTATACCCTTCTTTGTGTATGTGCTCAATAGTTTAGTATATGCTGCTTCACAGTGAGGCAGTAATTTAAAATTAAATCATCATGTCAAGCATGGATAAAAGCAACAAAAAAAACCCCAAATCCTATACAGCTTTCGGATACAACAGCTTCATATATTCTATACCAGGGGTCCTCAACTCTATACCAATACCCTCTGTGGTACCAGTCTGTGGTCCGTCAGGTCTGCACAGCAGCAGGTCAGTGGTGGGCCAGAGAGCATTACTGCCTAAGCTCTGCCTCCTGTCAGATCAGTGGCTGCATTAGATTCTCACAGGAGTGTGAATCCTACTGTGAACTGCAGTAGGGATCTAGGTTGCATGCTCCATAAAAGAACCTAATGCCTGACAATCTGAGGTGACACAGTTTTATCTCCAAAACATCCCCCTACCCCCCACCCCCCACTGTCCATGGAAAAATTGTCTTCCACAAAACCAGTCCATGGTGCCAAAAAGATTGGGGACCGCTGCTCTATACTATACTGGATTATCAACCTAATTGCTTCTTTGAAGTGAAAAAATTTTAAAAGATAGTCAATTATTAATAGCTAAAGCAAATGCTGCTTTAAAATTTTAAGTTGGCCAGGCACAGCGGCTCACGCCTGTAATTCCAGCACTTTGGGAGGCTGAGTTGGGTGGATCACTTGAACTCAGGAGTTCAAGACCAGTTGGGCAACAAAGTGAAACCCTGCCTCTACCAAAAATACAAAAAATTAGCTGTGTATGGTGGCATGTGCCTGTGGTCCTAGCTACTTGGGAGGCTGAGGCAGGAGGATCATTTGAACCTGGGAGGTGGAGGTTGCAGTGAGCCAAGATTGCACCACTGTACTCCAGCCTGGGTGACAGAGTGACACCCTGTCTCAATAATAATAATAATAATAATAATAATATTTTTTTAAAAATAAAAATTTTAAGTCTCTTTTGTGAGCAGTGAGTGCCTATTTGATTACCTACCTGGTAAACACACATGCCTTAATCTGACTGTACATAAGGAAGAACTCTTATGAAACATTTTAAAATTTTCCCACCTAAAAGAGGTTTAAGAAAGGGTAATGTTTCTGAGGATGGCTCCTGTCAAGGATTAAGAAAAGTCATTTTTCTCAGCACTTCTGTAGAAGTTGTGAGGAAAAAGGGAACCATGGCACAATGGGGGTAAAAAAACCAGACCGTTTCCTAGATGCTTCTAGGTCAGGTTTTCACATTTCAGTTTTTGTTTTTTTTGCAATGCTTAAGAAATATATTATCAAGTCAAAAATTGGAAGTTTTTTTTTTGTTAATAACAACAAATACATAAAACTAAAAAGTCGTTTGTATGACTAATGTACTTCGAGTGACTGTGTTAGGTGTCACTGGATACAAAGATGAGTGAGATGTAGTCCCTGCCCTTATGTAAGAAGCTTAAATGACCTGCCCTTTGGTAGAGGCAGTTCTTAGACCAAACGCCAGCCAAAAATTTGTCCATTTTTCAGAATTGCTATAAAAGTAATCAACCAACTGCATGCAGGCACCATACATATTAACTAACTTAGTAAGAAGTATACATTATTATTATCTCCATTAAGAAATCAGCAAACTGAGGCACAGTTAGATCCTGGCAAAGGTCACATGGCTAGGGGAGTAGCCAGGATTTGACAGTCTGGCTCCAGTCTCTGCTCTTTTTTTACCCTGAGACAGGATCTTGCTCTGGTTGCCCACGCTGGAGTGCAGTGGCAATCATGGCTCACTGCAGCCTTGACCTCCCAGGCTCAAGTGATCCTCCCACCCCAGCCTTTGGAGTAGGTGGGACCATAGGTTTGTACTACCATGCTCAGTTAATTAAAAAAACTTTTGTAGAGACGGGATTTTCCTATGTTTCCCAGGTTGGTCTCGAACTCCTAGACTCAAGTGATCGTCCTGCCTTGGATTTCCAAAGTGTTGGGATTACAGGCGTGAGCCACCATGCCCCGCTCCAGTCTCTGCTTTTTTTTTTTTTTTTTTGATGGAGTTTTGCTCTTGTTGCCCAGGTTGCAGTGCAATGGTGCGATATTGGCTCACTGCAACCTCTGCCTCCCGGGTTCAAGCAATTCTCCTGTCTTAGCCTCCTAAGTAGCTGAGATTACAGGCGCCTGCCACTACTCCCAGCTAATTTTTTGTATTTTAGTAGAGATGGGCTTTCACCATGTTGGCTAGGCTGTTCTCAAACTCCTGACATTGTGATTTGCCTGCCTCGGTCTCTCAAAGTGCTGGGATTACAGGTATGAGCCACCGCGCCTGGCTCAGTCTCTGCTCTTGACCACTTTTTTACCTCTTTGCTAAGTCACAGGTTAGCATTCAGGGTAGGCCCATCATTCTGTAGGATATTGGGAATATGTGCTTACCTCTTAAAACACTTCTGCCTCCTTAATGTCTGGGAACACATTTACTTTACCTTTTTTGGTGAAAAATTCCTTGGAATATTTTCCTGCCACAATGAGCTTGCGAGGCACCTTCCCCAGAAGTTCTATGATCAATGCAATGTGATCTGTATATTTCAAACATTTCAAGAAGGGGGAAAAAAAGATACATAACAAGAGTAACAAATGCAGCTCTAGAAAATAGCAGAAAGAGTAGCATGCACACCTCTTTGTAAAGCATATCAGGCTTGCTTGCTATCCTAAATGGGAAGAGGAAGACTCTATCCATCTAATGGAGAATTCACAAAGTCAAATTTTTGTGGATTCAGTGATAACTAAAAACAATCTTGGTGTGAATGCTCTGCTTCCTGAAGTATCCCCTGGGTCCTAGATTAAAACTCATTTAACAATACTACCTCTGCGATTGAAGAAGTCTTGTGAATACTTCCCACTGAGGGCAAAGCATCTTGGAATTCTGCCTATCAGCTCTATAATGTGCACAATGTGGTCTAAAATAGAAGGGTAAGAAGAACAGATCAAGGACAAGCTGTAAAAGAGGTTTTTCTATGATTAGCTTTTTCAAGGACTAGCTGTTTAAAAGTAACTACAAATAAAACCAAAGATAATGAAGGGAAGACTGACTGGGAAGGCCAAGAATTATTTCTGGTGATTGGTCACCCGACAGTGTCAGGCAAGTACCATTCTGGATTTTGGAGGCTTATCTTCATCTTTACTTCTCTTTTGTCTATATATCTAGGTTCAGGTAGGTTCTTTAGGTAAGATTTAAAAAACTGTCCAAATATGTGTTAGACATTCTGGAACTATTATTTGTGATCGTTCTGTCTCAGCCTCCCCAGTGGCTGGGACTTCAGGCATGTGCCACCACACCTGCTGACTTAAAACATTTTTTGGAGAGATGAGGTCATGGCATACTGCCAAGCTGGTCTCAAACTCCTGGGCTCAAGCAATACTCCTCCCTTGGCCTCCCGAAGTGTTGGGATCACAGGCCTGGGTCACCACCTGGCTGATACCCCATTTTATTTTATTTTATTTTATTTTTTTTTGGGGAGCAGGTCTTCGCGTTCTGTCACCCAGGCTGGAGTGCAAGTGGCGGATCTGTCGACTGCAGCTTCGCTCCGGGTAGCTTCTTCCTGCTCCGCCTCGGTATTGCTGGGACATATAAGGGACTCCCACCGCACCGCCGGTGTTTTTTGATTTTTTTTTTTTTTTTTTTTATTTTAGTGGATCGGGAAGTTTTCACGGGTTCGCCGGATCGGTGTCGATTTCCCCTCCTTTGTGAATCCGCCGCCGCTGGCCTCCCAACAGTGGGTGAGGTTTACGGGGGTGCGCCACGACGCGCGGCCGCTACCTTTTTAGGGATTGGACATACTTCCAAAAAGCGACCCTGGCTATTGAACTTTTCAGGGTAACATATTTGATGCCTGATCAAATTTTTGAAAACCGATTTTATCTTATGTCTTTGTCTAAAGCTTTTTCTTTAAATCTTTTTCAAGTACAGTTGCACTTAAGCGTTATAGCTACTTGATGACTTCTGTTTAATCGTTCACAGTATGAATGGTGGGATTTCATGTGCGCGGCCAAGCCAAGGGGGCATGAGGCTTTCTGTACCGGAGGGTGAGTCTGGGACAAACAGTACACACACTTCGGCAATTTACTAACTTGTCTTTTTTTTTTTTTTTTTTTCCTTGCAGGTGGGAACAGAATTAGAATTTTATAGGATATAACCTTTTTTTTTTTTTTTTTTTTGGAGATGGAGTCTTGCTCTGTCACCCAGGCTGGAGTGCAATGGCATGATCTTGGCTCACTGCAACCTCCGCCTCCTGGGTTCCAGTGATTTTTGTGTCTCAGCCTCCTGAGTAGCTGGGATTACAGTTGCACACCACCATGTCCAGCTAATTTTTGTATCTGTAGTAGAGACAGGGTTTCACATGTTGGCCAGGCTGGTCTTGAACTCCTGACTTCAGGTGATCTGCCTGCCTTGGCCTCCCAAAATGCTGGGATTACAGGTGTGAGCCACTGTGCCTGGCCTGTATTTTTTGTAGAGATGGGTGGGGTTTTGCCATGTTGCCCAGGCTGGTCTCAAACTCCTGGGCTCAAGTGATCCACCCACCTCAGTCTCCCAAAGTGCTGGGATTACAGGCGTGAACACCCAGGCAGAATATAAAAGTTTTTTTTTTTTTAAATTGTTGGTTCTTGGCCGGAAAAAAGGTTTTTTAAATTACTTTTATCCTGTAGTTACAGAATCATTAAGGGTTAAACTTCCAGTTATGTATCTTACAGGGGAAATAACATGCTAGAGACATTGATATTATCTGGGAATTTGTGAAGGTTTCAGGTTATATCTTTCTCATGTAAAGGAGTAGGTGTCATTTAAAGAAGACTTCACATTTATGACTTCCCTACAACCTTTGAGCAGTTTTGACTGAATTTATGGTTTGGTAACAAGTACCTGCATGCCAAGAATTTTTCTGCTGGTTTTTGGCAGGACCTGCAAATGTGTTTTTACCATTACCAATAACCAAAATGAGAATACCAAGGAAAAACTTAGACTATAGTTTCTAAGAGAGCTTCTTAAAGTTCTTAGAAACTTAAGTAAACTTCCAAGTAAAATACTGGTTCTTTAAATATTTTTCCTATACCAAGGAATTCCCTTGAAGTTGTTACTTTACATTTAATTCCTGCAACCTATCTTTGGCTTATGAGGATTGATATACTTGACAGACAAAATTATTAAGTATTATCCCATGAGTTAGGGCTGTGGAAAGCCAGAGTAGAGGACATGGTACTCAGGCTCCTGTCCTACCATGACTTGTAACAAACTGCACACACTAGTCAGGGGTAAGGGTTTGCTTGTTCCTGCTCTTATAGGCCAAACTGCAGTAGAACAGCACAGGTAGGGTTGATGTTTGACCTAAGGACTATTAGTACTAACTGGTATAGGATGGAATAAATTAGAATTTAAATATCTAGGGAAGATAGTTTTTCCCTGTCCCCTTATTTGGGACTCTGCATATATATTAAAATTTTCAGGTTTGGTAGCATACTACTACTTGATATAATTCTAGCCACTATACGTGTTCTGTACCACACACTAACATTTATGGAGAATCTAGGGAAGTAAAAAAAAAATTAATTACCCTCCCAACAAATATAGTAGGTAGTTTCTAGGCCTATAACCCCAAACACTGTAAGCCTATAACCCCAAACCTATAACCCAGAAAAATAGCAAGCAGAGAGTGGGTAAAATCAAGTAGTAATTATAGTATCCTCTAACATGGGGCTTATACATGTAAAATATGTACTCACTTAAATAGGCATTCATGGGAATTAGATAGATAGCATTTTCCAAATGGTATTCATTAGGGATATTAGCAGGTCCTACTAACATTACCTATTAATATCCCAGAAGACCACATTTTGAGAAACAAAGAGCACTCCTGGTTCCATAGAGCATGAAATACGTGTTCCCAAAGACTCAAGGAAAGTACAAAAAGAACATGTTCTCTACATTGGGAGGGTAGATGCTGTAGTGATCTCTCAAAATAATCCTCATTAATCCTACAAATAAAACATAAGCTGCCTCAACTGTATAAAACATTTTCTTGGCTGGGCGCGGTGGCTCATGCCTGTAATCCCAGCACTTTGGGAGGCTGAAAGGGGTGGACCACGAGGTCAAGAGATAGAGACCATCCTGGCCAACATGGTGAAACCCCGCCTCTACTAAAAATACAAAAATTAGCTGGGTGTGGTGGTGCATGCCTGTAGTCCCAGCTACTCGGGAGGCCGAGGCACGAGAATCGCTTGAACCACTGCACTCCAGCCTGGTGACAGAGTGAGATTTCGTCTCAAAAAAAAAAAAAATTTTGTTTGTTCACTCAAATTATTAACCCATTTAGTTATCTGGATGCCATCATAATAGAAAAATCAGACATATACAGTTGCCTGCTTCCACAGTCTCTCAGACAAAGTTACTGGCAGCTTAAGCTTTTCCCACTGGCTACCACAACATGTAAATCCATTCTATTTTGTTTTAAAATGGAATTCCAAAGAAGAAAAAATTACAGTTTTATATTCAGAAAAGGGAAAAAAGAATGCTAAATGTTGGCAGAATTTATAGAAATAGAATATAGTCTCTGCATTTAAGTAGTGTGTGTATATTAAAGTTACTGACCTCTAAATAAATTTGGAGGCATAATTGAGCAACAGGTTGATGAACAGGTAAACTCAAACTGGGTAAAGAATGAACCACTGATATATACAGAAAGGAAGATAACTAGATGTTGAAGAAAAAAACTGTCCAGCACACAGAAGTTTTAGGTTAACTGTGGCCTTTTGACTCTGACAGAGCTCTTTAGTATTTTTCAGAAAATATCTAAAAACCTACTATAAAATGTCTTTTATATTTCTAACTTTTCTGGGATTTACATATGCTTTGCACACTAACAAGACTAAGGCTCTTCAGTACTAACCAAATGAATCCGTTAGCACAATGGTGGAAGTGTCAAATCCACACACACACATCCATGTTAACCGGGTTCGTCACCTTCATCTCGAGTGTAACTCTTCCCCTGACATGAGGTTCAAACAAATAGCTCACCTGTGCGCCAGTTCAAAGGCTAAAAAAAAAAAGAGGACAGTATATGAAAGCATAACAGAAAAGAAGGCCTTTGGAAAGCTTACTGCTATTTGGCTCAATATGAAGTAACCTTGTTCCCTTGGGAAAATTTACAGATTAAAAAAATAAAACCTAAAAAAAACCCCCCATAAGAATATCCTAAAGCATTTCTTCCACATCCCTATCTTAATAAAATGGAGAAAACAGCAAAGACTCAGTAAATACTAACATGTGGGTTATTTCATGCCTAAACCTCCCCACCCTAAACCCCAGCAATTCAGCCCTCCTGAGTTTCCCTTTTTTGGCCAGAAAAAGGCACACCTGGATATTAAGGTGATTCTAAATTATTATGCATGAGAAGAACAGGTCTTTCTTACATTATAATCACACACGGCTAGAAATTGAGATTCTGTACCAAACAAAAATAATCAAAACAAAAAAATTCAGATGTCTACTTATGACTCTCTAGTGTTCGACAAGTACACTATTAACTTTTGCATAGGAAGTACTCCCTAGACTGTCCCAGATGGAAAGTTCCTGATTCCTAGGTCTTTTTTTTTTTTTTTTGTTAGATGGAATCTTGCTCTGGCCTACCAGGCTGGAGTGGCAATGGCGTGATCTTAACTCCACTGCAAAGCCTCTGCACCTCCGGAGTTCAACGTGATTCTCCCGCCTCAGCCTCCGAGTAGCTGGGACTACAGGCACGTGCACCACGCCCAGCTAATTTTTGTATTTTTAGTAGCGACTGAGGGATTTTACCATGTTGGCCAGGAATGGTCTCAATTCTTGGACCTCATGATCCCCCGCCTTTGCCTCCAAGAGTGCTGGGATTACAGGCGTGAGCCACTGTGCCTGGCAATTTGTAGGCTCTTTAGAAATCAGAAGATAAGTGTAAAGGAGTCAGGAGCTAGCCTGATGTGACTGGCAGTCGTACTCCCTAATCAGGAAAAAGAAAAGCCTGTCTCTCTGTAATAGAAAACCTCTTTACAGTGTTCGAGAGCGTCTTAGGAAATGATATCCTTAGGAATAAGTGCCATGCAGAATGAAAAGATAGTGTTAGGGTAACAGCGGGGGCTACATGAAATCTCACTGATGGAGTTTTAAAAATCAGTACAACAGCGAGTTTTGTTTTTGAGACAGAGTCTTGCTCTGCTGCCTAGGCTGGAGCGCGGTGGCGCAATCTCGGCTTCACTGCCACCTCCGCCTCCCAGGTTCACGCCATTCTCCTATCCTCAGCTCCTGAGTAGCTGGGACTACAGGTGCCCGCCACGCAGCCCAGCTAATTTGTTTGTTTTTAGTAGAGATGGGGTTTACTGTGTTAGCCAGGATGGTCTTGATCTCTGACCCTCGTGAATCTGCCTGCTCAGCCTCCCAAAGTGCTGGGATTAGCAGGCGTGAGCCACTGCGCCCCGGCCAACAGCAGTTTTTAAAATAACCTTATTGATAAGGAAACACAGTTATAAATAAGTGGCTAGTCATAGGTCAATTTTGATTCAAAATCAATGGTAGCTTAAGTGGTCCAACGCACCTCCCCAAAAGAAACTGTAGACTCCAGGACTTAGTTGGGGCATATTCTCAATTTAGACCCAAGTTTAGGTCTTGGTGGCTCACCAGTGTCAGTTTCTGCAATTTCATGACAGAACAGCCTTTCTCAAAACAGTACTACCGTCCAGAGGGAGACCTCAAAACCAGAAGTTTCAGGATAGGTTTAGGAATCAAATACTATCTCTAAATGTCAAGAGTGCTATATGGCTTCTTGCTTGGCATCGCTTGTTTTACATTTCACTCGTTTATTATGAAACTGAACCACAGTGATAGAGCAGATACTTGTTCTACCCTCAGTTGTCCTGAGGTTTATAGTCCCAAAGCAACAGAGAAACAAATCATGATTCTTATTCAACAAAACTTGTCAATCATTCCTGACACCAGGACTTAAAAAAAAAAAACAACTAATGGTCTCATAGAGTTCAGTAAAGATACTGAAATTAAAGTTAAAAAAAAAACAAAAACAAAAACAAAAAAACACATGAGCCAGTCATGGCAGTGCTATATGCCTGTGGTACCGGCTATTCAGGAGGCCAGAAAATGAAATATTCTTCAGTGCTAAAAAGAAATGAGCTATTAAGCCATGAAGATATGGAGGAACCTTAAATGCATATTAGTAAGTGAAAGAACCCAATCTAAAAAGGCTACATACTGTATGATTCCAACTATTTGACATTATGGAGACAATAAAAATATCAGTGGTTGCCAGGGAGTGGTGGAAGGAAGGGATGAACAGGCAGAGCACAGAGGAGTTTTAGAGCAGTGAAATGATGTTGCATATAATAATGATAGATACATTTGTCAAAACTCATAAAAGAGTGAAATGAGATGTAAACTACTGACTTTGGTTAATAATGATGTGTCAATGTAGGTTCACTGTAACAAATGTATCACTGTGGAGCAGCAGATCGATTGTGGGGGAGGCTCTGTGTGTGGGGAGCATATAAAACTTATTTGTACTTTTTGTTCAATTTTTCTGTGAACCTAAAATTGCTCTAAAAAATAAAGTCTATTAAGAAACAAACCAGTGTACCATCCTTTGTTAACCTTCTCTAGACTACTGCCTTTGAGAAAAATGGCTCAGAAGATAGCATGAAATGCATGGAAAAGTTAAAACAATGACAATTTAAACAGACTAATCACATTCAGATCCAGAAGTAACTTGCAAACTCTAGGTAGCAGAAAGGAATACTGACACAGCTTAAGGGGCAATCTAGCATTTCATAAGCAATGTTTGTGTGTGGTCAGAATGCAAAGAGTGACTACCAAACAGAAAATGAGGACTTTCAGGTAAGAGCTGTTTCTACAAAGTAACATGTCCATCATCTGTATCAATGGGCTGGCCAATGGCTGTCTCAAAGTGAGGAAGACAAGTCAGAGTTCTGATGCTTGTCCTTCTGCAGAGATACAGGTGTGCTTAATGTATTAACTGAAGGCCCCTTATCTTGACCCAGGTTTGACCACATTAAGAAGGGCTGAAGTGCTGGATATGTTATTTTAGAAAAAAGGAACTAAAAGATGATTCAAATTTCCTGTCTTCAACAATCTATACCAAAGGGAAGTAAAATTCCAGAGCAGGGCTGGAGGCTGGAACAATTAAGTCTGTTTTAAATTAAAAAGGCTGCCAAGGAATAGGGGAAAAGGGAAACAAGGAGTTTTTCTCCAATGGTATATAGAGTTTCAGTTTTGAAAGATAAAAAAAGTTCTAAAGAGGCCAGGTAGGGTGGCTTACACCTGTAGTTCCAGCACTTTGGGAGGCCAAGGTGGGAGGACTGCTTGAGCCCAGGAGTTCAAGACCAGCCTGGGAAATATAGTGAGATCCCATCTCTTAACAAAAAAAAATTCTAAAGACAAGTTGTATAAAAATGTGAATATAGGCCAGGTACAGTGGCTCATGCCTGTAATCCCAGCACTTCGGGAGGCTGAGGCAGGTGGATCACTTGTGCTCAGGAGTTCGAGACCAGCCTGGGCAACATGGTGAACCCCGTCTCTACCAAAAATACAAACAATTAGCTAGGCATGGTGGCACATGCCTGTGGTCCTAGCTACTCAGGAGGCTGAGGTGAGAGGATTGCTTGAGCCTGGGAAGTGGAGGTTGCAGTGAGCCGAGATTGCACTACTGCACTCCAATCTGTGTGACAGAGTGAGACCTTGTCTCCAAAAAAAAGAAGACTCAAGAAATCAGAAATGGGCCGGGCACGGTAGCTCACGCCTGTAATCCCAGCACTTTGAGAGGCCGAGGCGGGCGGATCACGAGGTCAGGAGATAGAGACCATCCTGGCTAATGTGGTGAAACCCCGTCTCTGCTAAAAATACAAAAAATTAGCCGGGCGTGGTGGCAGGCACCTGTAGTCCCAGCTACTTGGGAGGCTGAGACAGGAGAATGGCGTAAACCCAGGAGGCAGAGCTTGCAGTGAGCCGAGATTGGGCGATAAGCAAGACTCCCATCTCAAAAAAAATAAAAAATAAAAATAAATAAATAAATCAGAAATGAAAGAGGAGACATTATAATGAATACCACAGAACTACAAAGGATAAGAGACTACTATGCATAATCATATGGCAACCAATTGGAAAACCCAGAAAAAATAGAAAAATTCATTGACAATATAACCTATGAAGATTGAACCATGAAGAAATAGAAACCCTGAACAGATAAAAAATAAGAGATTAAATCTGTAATAAGTCTCCCATCAAAGAAAAGCCCAGGACCTGATGGCTTCACTGCTGAATCCTACCAAATATTTAATGAAAAACTAATAGCAATCTGTCTCCCGGGTTCAACTGATCCTCCTGCCTCAGCCTCCCAAGTAGCTGAAACTACAGGTGTGTGCCACCACACCTGGCTAATTTTTTCATTTCTTTTGGTAGAAATGGGGTCTCACTATGTTATCCAGGCTGGTCTCAAACTCCTGAGCTCCAGTGATCCTCCTGCCTCAGCTTTCCAAAGTGCTGGGATTACAGGCATAAGCCACCAAGCCTGGCCCGTCATGATCTTATATACAGAAAACCCTAAAGACTCCACCAAAAACCCATTAGAACTAACAAACAAATACAGTAAAGTTGCAGGATACAAAATCAACACACAAAAATCAGCAGCATTTCTGTAAACTAACAACTAGCTGAAAAATAAACCAAGAGATCAATTCCATTTACAATAGCTACAAAAACAAAACAAAACAAAACAAAAAAAACACTTAGAAACATATTTAAGCACGGAGGTAAAAGACCTGTACACTGAGAACTATAAAATGCTGAGAAAAGAAATTGAAGACACAAATAAATGAAAATATATCTTATGTTCATGGTTTAGAAGATTTTAATTTTAATTTAATTTAATTTTATGAGAGAGGGTCTTGCTCCGTGACCCAGGCTGGACTGTAGTGGTGCAATCTTGGCTTACTGTAACCTCTGCCTCCTGATCTCAGGTGATTCTCCCACCTCTGCCTCCCAAGTAGCATGAATCACCACACTCGGCTAATTTTTAAATTATTTGTAGAGATGGGATTTTGCCATGTTGCCCAGGCTGGTCTCACACAATCCATCTGCCTTGGCCTCCCAAAATGCTGGGACTAGAGGTGTGAGCCACCGTGCCTGGCCTTACTATTGTTAAAATGTCCACACTACTCAAAGTGATCTATCAGATTCAATGCAATCTCTATCACAGTTGCGATGTTATTTTTCATAGAAATAGAAAAAACAATCCTAAAATTCACATGCAATCACAAAAAATCCCAAATAGCCAAGGCAGTCACGAACACAAAGAAGAAAGCTGGGCTGGGCGTGGTGGCTCACGCCTGTAATCCCAGCACTTTGGGAGGCTGAAGCAGGCAGATCACTGGAGCCCAGGAGTTTGAGACCAGCCTGGGCAACACAAGGAGACCCCATCTCTACAAAAAATACAAAAATAGTTGGATGTGGTGGGGCGCACCTGTAGTCCCAGCTACTTGGGAGGCTGAGGTGGGAGGATTGCTTGAGCCCAGGAGGCGAAGGCTGAAGACAGCCATGATTGTGCCACTGCACTCCAGCCTGAGTGACAGTATGAGACCCTGTCTCAAAACAAGAACAAAGCTGGAAGCGTCACACTACCTACTTTCAAACTATACTACAAAGCTATAGTAATTAAAACAGCATGGTCCTGGCAAAAAAAGCAGAAGCATAGACCAAAGGAACAATATAGAGAGCCCAGAAATGAACCCACGCGGCTGGGCGCGGTGTCTCACACCTATAATCCCAGCACTTTGGGAAGCCAAGGCAGGTGGATCGCAAGGTCAAGAGATTGAGACCATCCTGGTTAACATGGTGAAACCCCGTCTCTACTAAAAATACAAAAATTAGCTGGGCACGGTGGCATGCGCCTGTAGTCCTAGCTGCTGGGGAGGCTGAGGCAGGAGAATGGTGTGAACCCAGGAGGCGGAGCTTGCAATGAGCCGAGATCGTGCCACTGCGCTCCAGCCTGGGCAACAGAGTGAGACTCCGACTCAAAAAAAAAAAAGAAATGAACCCATGCATGTATGGTCAAGTGATCTTTGACAAAAATTCCAAGAATACAGAATGGGAAAAGGATGGTCTCTTCAACAAATGGTGTTGGAAAAACTGGATATAAAAAGAATGAAATTGCACTCCGAATACAAAAATCAAAATGGATGAAAGACTTAAACATAAGACCTGAAACTGAAAAACTACCAGAAGAAAACAAGGGGGAAACCCACATGACATTAATCTGAGCAACGATTTTTTTGGATTTGACCCCAAAAGCCCAGGGAGCAAAAGCGAATACAGACAAATGGGATAACATCAAACCAAAAAACTTCTGTACAGCAAAGGAAACAATAGTGTGTACAGATAACCTATGGGATGGGAAAAAATATTTGCATGCTATACATCTGATAGGGGTTAATATCCAAAATAATATGGAACTCAACTCAATAGCAAGAAAACAAACAAACAAAAACCCTATTAAAAAACAGGCAAAGGACCTAAATACACATTTCTGAAAAGAAGACACACAAATGGCCAACAGATCTACTAAAAAAATAGCTCAACATCATTAATCATTAGGGAAATGCAAATTAAAACCAAAATGAGATATCATTTCATATCTGTCAGAATGTCTGTTATCACAAAGATGAAAGATTTAGTGTTGGTGAGAATGTGGAGCAAAGGGAAGTCTTGAATGTTATTGGTGGGAATGTAAATTAGTACAACCCTCATGGAAAACTATATGGAGGTTCTTTAAAAATCTAAAAGTAGAGTTACCATATGATCCAGCAATCCCACTTCTGGATATTTACCTCAAAGATTTAAAATCAGTTTGTTTAAGTGATGTCTGCATTCCCATATTCACGGCAGCACTATTCACAATAGTCAAGTTATGGACTCAACCTAAGTTGATTTTAAAATCAATCTAAGTTGAGTCTATACAGATCAGATAAACAGACAATAAAATGTGGTATATACAGGTTGCTCCAAAATCCAAAATTGACACGACATGCAAAGGAAATGCTCATTTGGAGCATTTCGAAGTTTAGATTTTTGGATTAGAAATGTTCAGACAGTATGTATTCTGCAAATATTCCAAAATCTAAAAAATTTCCCAAACTGAAACTGGTACCAAGTGTTTCAGATTCGGGATATTCAACTTGTATACACAATGGAATGGAATACTATTCAGCCTTAAAAACAAGATGGAAATTCAGTCATTTGCAATGACATGGATGGAATTGGAAAACATAATATGAAGTGAAATAAGCCAGGCACGAAAAGACAAATACTGCAACACTCTCACTTATATGTGAAATCTAAAACAATTGAACTCATAGAAGCAGAGAGCGGAATGGTGGTTACAGAGGCTGGGGGGTGAAGATAATGGGGAGATAATGATTAAAGAGTTAAAAAGGACAAAAAAAGGGAAAAAGTAAATTTAGTTTTAACTATAACAATATTTCTAGAAATATCTGACGAGTATCATTCACACCTTATTTCTGTTACTAACCATATTTAATTGCTCAAATCATGAAGATACTAAGTTGAAGGTGGCTTTGAAACTCATTTCAAACCAGATATGCCAAGTTTTGTTCAAATTTTGTTTAGAAGTCTACTTACTGCTCCTCTTGATATGGAGAAGTAACATAATTAAGTACCCAGTCCTAGTGGTTAGTGCTCTGCAAACAACCAATAGCAGGGGAATGAAGCAAAGGAAAGATGTCTTAACAGCAAGGAAGCAATGTTTCAGCACTAGAAAGGATGAAAGAGGGTTACAATAGCCACAGGTCAAAAAGGACGGTTGGGAAACTCCCGAGTTCAGTTATTAGTTTTTTTGTTGTTACTAAATATATTCTACCACTCACTTCCAGTTTTAAAAGTAGCGTTTTTCCAGTCTTAACACAGCTGTAAATTATATTAGTCAAAGCAAATAAATGGTTCTGTATCAAAGGTGTACGTAAGAATTGCTGAAGAACTTTTCCAAAATGCATATGTCTACTGCACATATCCCTTTCCTATTTAAGAATCACAGACAATTTCCCTGCCTCATATAGAAAGCAAACATAAAAAAACCCCATGTATTTCAGGGAGTCACAAGTTCTATGTGACAAAGAAAAGTGATAAAGTGGGGGTTATTTCAAATAAAGTCGTCAGGAAGATATCTCTAAAGAGATTCTGTTGAACAAAGACCTGCATAAGGTGAACGAGAAAGCACGTCCAAAGGTCCAAGGTAAGAATGAGCTTCACAAGACTAGGGAAAGAAAATAGGACTTTGAGTGGAATAGATGCAATTAGAGGATTTAAAACAGGGGAGTAATATGATTTGATTAACACTTAAGACCACTCAGGCCACTATGTGATAATGTGACATGAAGGGAGAAAAAGAGAAGCAGAGAAAGGAAATTAGGAGGTCACTGTATTGATCCATTTGTGAAATGATGATGGCATGAGTTATAATGAGTTAATGGAAAAAGTAAAAAGTGGTTGGTATTGGATTTTTTTTTTGTTTTTTTTTTTTTTTGGAGACAGGGTCTCGCTCTGTCACTCAGGCTGTGGTGCAGTCTTGGCTCCCTGCAATCTCTGCCTCCTGGGTTCAAGCAATTCTCGTGCCTCAGCCTCCCCAGTAGCTGGGATTTCAGTTGCATACCACCACATCCGGCTAATTTTTGTATTTTTGGTAGAGACAGGGTTTCATCAGGTTGGCCAGGCTGGTCTTGAACTCCTGATATCAGGTGATCCACCTGCCTCAGCCTCCCAAAGTGCTGAGATTACAGGTATGAGCTGCACCTAGCCGGTATTGGATATATTCTGAAGGTAAAACACATAAAAACAGCTGATGGACTAGATGTAGACAGAGGAAAACAGAATTAAGAATTAACCTAAAAGGTTCAGGTTCTAAGCTTTTAGTCTGAGTGGCTGGGTGAACAGGGGGATAATTTACAAAAACAGGATGTGTAGGGTGAACCAAGCACTCTATTTTGAAAATGTTACATTTGAGATACTTATCAGATATTCAAATGGAGTTGTCAAGCAGACAGTTGGACATAAAAAGTTGGATTAAGTATAGAGATGAGCTGAGGCTAGAGACATCATGGGACTTGATGAAATCCCCCAGGAAGAGAGAGAAGAGGGCCAAGGGCTGAGTCCTTTTTCAGTTAAGAGGAAAGGCCTATCCATTTAAGTTCTCATTAATTGATATAGACAAAAAGTAAACAATAAGGGCAAGGTACTACTATAGACTTAAAGCTTTAATTTTTCTTTGGTAATCAAAGCATGCCTAAAATAAATATTCCAACATCCAGTTACGTGAACAGACCGTACAAGCTATGAATGATTAAAATGGAGACTATCTTGCCCCAGGGATCTAGTGCACCCCGGCTGGTGTCAGCTTAAAGCCTTCCTCTCAACTGTGTGCTAGTCACTGGGGTTATAATGAAGGTCCTATAGTTAATTAACTATAACGCCATCATTCCTGGGGAACAAATGCTCACCTCTCTCAATTCCTCCTGCTTCTTTCCCTGTTTAGAATGTCTAACTTTGGGAGCTGTGCATTTAATCACTTCCATCTCTTGAATACAGCAAATACCCAGCTCTCCTTTACCTTCACTGACAGCAATGCCTGGGATCCAGATACTTCTGCATATACCAACTGCAGGAATCTACTGTAAAGACACAGGTCCTAGTGATTTTATTATAGAACTGTGAAAGAGATGAGATTATACTCTGTTTTTTGGTGTTTGTGTTACCTCTGTTTAGCGGAACACTATGGCAGCAAAAACAAAAAAATAAATAAAAGCAAACCTATAGCTTTCATTGTATAGGATAAGGAAATTGTACAAAAAGAACTCAAAATATTACTTACTAAAATAGCATTCAAAATCTGGCCTCCACTGACTTATTGCTGTTGAACAAAGGTGACAATCTTTGGTGAAATCTAAACAGCTATTGTGCATAGTGCTAGAAGTTATAACCACCTGCAGACATTTCTGCCTTTTCATTCAGGCAGCTCAGATTGTGAATTGGTGATGATGGAGAAAGAGCTCTTGGGTTAAATTACTACACTTTGGATTTTGATAGTTTAAGGATTTTAGTAGCCTTAAGAATTCTACACAAAGACAGTTACGGATAAACCCCTTTGGATCCCATTTCTGAAAGATTCACTCCCTTACTGAAACATCTGACCAAGAATTAAGTTAGTCAGCCCTGGGTGTCTGAGGTTCCACATGCTCAGATTCAACTGACTGCAGATTAAAAATATTCAGAAACAGCAACAACAGCACAATAAAAAAACAAGTAAAGGACAGGCACAGTGAGTCATGCCTGTAATCCCAGTGCTTTGGGAGGCTGAGGTAGCAGGATCGTTTGAAGCCAGCAGTTTGAGACCAGTCTGTGCAACATAGCAAGACCTGGTCTCTACGAGAAAAAAATTTAAAAATGAGCCAAGTGGGTGGCACATGCCTATAGTCCTAGCTACTCGGGGAGTGAGGTGGTAGGATCCCTTGAACCCAGGAGTTTGAGGTTATATTGAGTTATGATCACACCACTGCACTCCAGCCTGGGCAACAGAGCAAGATCCCATCCCTAAAAAAAACAAAACGAAACAACAACAACAAAAAAACCAAGTTAAAAAAATATGGTACAACAACTTTACATAACATTTATATTATATTAGGTATTATAAGTAATCTAGAAACAATTTAAGTATACAGAGGCCATACGGTTATATATGTTATACGCAAACACTACGCCATTTTATGTAAAGTACTTGAACACCTGTGGATTTTGATATCTGCAAGGGGTCTTAGAACCAATTCCCTGAGGACATTGAGGGATGACTGCATATTCTCTAGTTTTTCCCCTAACCTTTCCCTTGATTAGTAATTGGCCAATTTCTGGGGTTGACAAAGACATGCACTTCACCCCATGTCCTAAATATGTGTAGCTATACTCACCGAACCTCTCACAAGTGCCCATGGGAGTCCCACAAATCCTGTCCTGAATTTCAGAGAGCAAAAGGTGAAGAAAAGGAACATATGCCAGAAAGCAATCACTTCAAAAGAGGAATTTACCAGAAAAGGAAGACAACTGGGGACTATAAACATACTTCCCCACAGCGGGAGGAAGGACATTCAAAGGCCAGAGAAGAAGATAATCTCATCCTGCCAGTTATGGTCCTACCTGTCCTGACTCCAATGTTCGAAATTTTTTTTTCTTTTTTTTTTTTTTGAGACAGAGTCTCACTCTGTCATGTTCTACACAAATATTTTCTCCTTTCCACCCCCCACTTTTTGAAACAGAGTCTTGCTCTGTCGCCCAGGCTGGGGTGCAGTGGTGTGATCTCAGCTCACTGCAGCCTCTGCCTCCCAGGTTCAAAAGATTCTTGTGCCTCAGCCTCCCGAGGAGCTGGGATTACAGGCATGTGCCACCACGACCAGTTAATTTTTGTATTTTTAGTAGAGACAGGGTTTCTCCATGTTGGCTAGGCTAGTCTTGAACTCGTGACCCCAAGTAATGTGTCTGCCTCAGCCTCCCAAAGTGCTGGAATTACAATCATAAGCCACCACACCTGGGTCCCCTTTTCCCTTTTTATAATTGCCCTTCTATCTATTCCTCAATCATCAATGTGGTAGGCAATCTCAACTTGTTTATCTCATTACCTCTCAGAGAGGGTTCTAATCTTTCCATCCATTAATTACTTTGGATGCAGGATGATCCATCTCTTCAGGCACTTCTGATATTCCAGAATTTTTGCTCTACGATCAATTTTTTTTTTTTTTTTTTT